TTACTCTTTTAGTGTGAATATTTTAAAGGTTATTCACTATTCTCTTTACAACAAATAACTTAAGCAAGGATTAAGCAAGGTATGATTAAGGATGCATACACATTAGGCTCTCTCGGCGCACGTTAAGCAAGGACTGCTAACCTACGCCGCTAGGGATGGCTAGACAGAAGAAGAGGAACTCCATAGCTAAGGTGAAGAACAAGGAAGAGGATGAGAAGGCCGAAGAAGAAGATGGTAGACTGGTTATACCAGAAACAAGGATCCCCCAAACACTTGGTCGGTGCAACTGTTCCATTTGATGAAAGGCATGGGTAGTGCACCAACGATTCTGCATGGACAGGACAAGAAAGATCTGACGGAGCCGGTGAAGAATCAAGCTCTGATAGCTCAAATTGAAGAGACACCTGCAGATCCAGCACTCAAAGAAGCTGATACAGCGACAACAGCAAGGAAGCTAACCTTCTCGTCAACAACGGCAAAACCAACGTTAGCTGAGATAGTCCGAAGTAATAGATCTGTTCAACAAGGATTGAAGTTGAATTATTAACCCCCCCCATTATCAAGGATGGAAGAAAAATTGTTAGACTAAACCAAGTAGAAGTGGAGGAACAGAGTAGAAGATGGAGCACAAGTCTAATTGGCTATGTCATAGGCGGATCCCCTCAATTCAAGGAGATGTTGAAATTCGTGTATGGGGTATGGCAATTTGTTACGACCCCTCAGGTATTAATCCATGATGAAGGTTATTTCATATTCAAATTTGAATCTGATGAGGATAGAGATGCAGTACTTCATAATGGACCATATACCTTCAATAACAGACCAATGATCTTGAAGAAATGGGATCCAGATTTCCAAATGAGCAAGGAGAATACAAAGAATATCCCAGTATGGGTTAATTTTCCTGAGTTGCCTATAAAATACTGGACAGTGGAGAATTTAGGAAGAATTGCAAGCTCAATTGGGAATCCTATCTGCACTGACAAATTGACAGCTCAAGAAGCAAGGATATCTTATGCCCGCATGCTGATTGAAATGGATGTGTCTCAACCTTTACCTGAGACAATATTGATAGAAATGGCTGAAGGAAAAAATAGGGAACAAAGACTAAGTTATGACTGGCAGCCTACTTTTTGCCAAGATTGCTTAGTGATTGGTCATGGGACAGGGGAATGTAGAGCTCCAGCAGAGGTGATGAAGCAGCCTAGCCCTATACCTAAAGGTCAGAGAGAAATCCAGCAAAAAAGGGGAGGGAAACCACAGACTAAATGGATTGCCAAACCAAAACCTACTGTGGAAGTACAAGGAAAAGAAGTGAACAAAGAACAAGTGACTACTACAATACAAGAAGTAGTTACTTCAAGAAGTGAGAATAAAGAAAAAGAAGAATTCCAGGTAGTCAAATCAAAAGGGAAACAAGTGCAGAGTCCAAAAGTGAAAACATCAATCAAGGGTATGTCTGATGAGGCCATTGAAAGTTTCCTACATCAGAACAGATTTAAGGCTCTAAGAATTCAAGAAGGGGAGGATGTTAGCCAAACATCTAAGGAAGGAAGAGTACCCCTTGCCCATACCCCATGATCATCAACTCTTGGAATATTAGAGGGCTAAATAAGCCCTATAAGCAAAAAGAACTCAAGGCCTTTCTGCTGAAAAATAAAATAACCATATTAGGATGCCTTGAGACAAAAGTTAAGATAAAGAATAAGGAGAAAGTTAGAAAGAAGTTTGGGGATTGGGACATATTTTCAAACTACTCATATTATCCTAATGAGAGAATATGGATATTGTGGAAGGCACAACAAGTAGACCTAACCATAATTTATGCTGGAGCTCAAATGGTACACTGTGAAGTTAGAGACAAAAACTCAACATTCCACTGTTGGTTAACTTTTATCTATGGATATAATACCATTGTAGAAAGGCAGAAAATATGGAAACAGATGAGATAGATTAACAGTAATATGGTGGAGGCTTGGCTTGTGCTAGGAGATTTCAATACAATGCTGTCTGTAAATGATAGACTCAATGGAAATTCAGTCAGTCAAAGTGAGGTGATAGACTTCCAAACTTGTATTGAGGACACAAGCCTGGGACTGCTAAATAGAAAGGGGTGCCAATGGTCATGGTGTAGTAAAAGAGATGCTGATGATGGAATATATAGCAACATTGATTGGGCCCTAGGGAACCCCTACTGGTTCATGAAGTATAACACCATAGAGGCAATTTATGAGAATTATGGTGTTTCTGATCATTCTCCCATATTATTGTGTACTGAGGTCAAAAGAAACTCTTTGCCTAAACCATTTAAGTTGTTGACTGTACTTATGCAGGAGGATGAATTTACCAAGATGGTCCAAGAGGTTTGGAGCCAAAAAATCAGTGGATATGCTATGTACTCAGTATGGCAGAAGCTGCAGAGTCTAGGGAACAAAGCAAAGGAGATGATCAAGCTTTTAACTCAGTGGACAAAAGACTTGAGAGCCTAAAGGATCAACTGCAACAAGTGCAACAGGAGATTGATGATGATTTATTCAATAGATCACTGATGTTGAAGGAGAAAGAACTATTACTATAAGTAGAGAAATGGGAAGGTATTCAAGAAAAGGTGTACAGGCAGAAATCAAGGGCTATGTGGATATCAGCAGGAGACTCCAATACAAGATTCTTCTATGCTCATTTAAAAGCGAGGCAAGCCAGAAATAGAGTCTCTACTATATGTAATGACCTGGGGCATATGCTAACTGACCCCAGGCTGGTAGAACAGGAGTTCATAGCTTTCTTTGAAGGTTTACTGGGAACAAGGGCTACTGAATTACCCTGCCTTGATGTCAATATTGCTAGAAATAGAGCTTGTTTGAATAGAGAACAACAGCAACAACTTGTCAAAAATGTAACTGATACAGAGATTTTACAAGAACTTAAAGGCATGTCAAAAGAAAAAGCACCAGGAATTGATGGATTCCCATTTGAATTCTTTAAGAAGTACTGGCATATAGTTGGAGAGGAAGTGATAAAGGCAATCAAGGAATTCTTTAAATCAGGGAAACTACTGAAGAATATCAGCAGTACTACTATTACTTTGGTGCCAAAAGTATTCAGTCCTTCCTATGTAAAGGAGTTTCGACCTCATGCTGCACAACTATCTACAAACTCATTGCAAGAATTCTCACTTCAAGATTGAAAACAGGGGTGGACCTCATTATTGGACCTGCTCAATCAACTTTTATAGAAAGAAGAAGCATTCTGGATAATATGATTATTGTTCATGAATTGGTTAAGGGATATAGCAAAAAAGGAGTATCTCCCAGATGCATTATAAAAAGTGAACATAAGGAAGGCCTATGACTCTGTTGAATGGCCTTTCTAAGAAATGGTTCTGCAGGAATATGGTTTCCCAAACAAGATGGTAAGGTGGATTATGGAGTGTGTCACCAATGTGAACTACTCAATTCTGATAAATGGAGGGCTTACTAAAGATTCCAAGCAAGGAAAGGACTAAGGCAAGGGGATCTCATGTCCCCTTACCTGATTGTCCTAGTGATGGAGTAGAACACTGAAGACCCTTAAAGACATCCCAGACTTCAATTTCCACCCAAAATGTGCCAAATTAAACCTAACTCATATTTGTTTTGCAGATGATCTGATTATATGTTGCAGAGCTGATAAAATATCCATTCAATTAATGCTGGACAAATTCAATCATTTCTCAAAGGTGACAGGACTCATAGCTAACTTGGAGAAAAGTTCTATCTATGTAGCTGGAGTCACTCAGGATTTCAAAGACATAATCAATACCGACTATCAGTTCAAGCGGGAAGCTCTACCTTTCAAATACCTAGGAGTCCCTTTATCCTCAAGGAATCTATCAATACAACAATGCATGCCATTAGTGGAGAAGATCACCAACAGAATAAAATGCTGGACCTCAAAATTCCTTTCTTATAGTGGTAGAGTTCAACTAATCAAAAATGTGTTGTTTGAGATGCAAACATACTGGGGACAAGTGTTTTTGCTGCCAAAGAAGATTATACAATTGGTGAATGTTGTGTGCAGATCATTCCTATGGACAGGTAGCCAGATCTCTTCAAAGAGAGCCTTGATATCTTGAGACAGTATTTGTATGCCAACTTCAGCTGGTGGACTAAATGTCATGGACTTTACATGGTAGAACAAAGCAGCAGTATGCAATCTAATGTGGGCAATACATACAAAAAAAGATGCTCTCTGGATCAAATGGATTCACTCTATATACATAAAAAAGCAGGACTTCCATACAATGAGTACTCCTAATCAAGCTTGTTGGTTGGTAAGAAAGGTGTTTGATATTAGAGAATGGTACCTGAATATAGACTCCTTTGCAAACATGAACAAATTCTGCAGAAAGGGGCAATTCAATATACAAAAGATGTACACTTTATCGAGACCTCAGTTTCCAAAGGTTCGATGGAAAGCCTTAATATTAGATACCACGATACCTAGACACAACTTCATTCTATGGCTAGCACTTCACTACATGCTGGTCACAGTGGATAGGTTGACAGCATGGGGAATACAAGTTGATATGAGATGCATACTATGCAACCGTGGAAAAGATGAAACAATGTCTCACTTATTCTTTGATTGCTAATTTTCAAGGAACATGTTGAACATACTGCTAAACTGGATGGGAGAATGACATCAAATTGGTACCTGGGATGAGGAAGTATTGTGGCTGATGAAAAGAACAAAAAATGCCAGACCCTGGAATATCATCTTGGCATTTTTGTATGCAGCAGTGATATACCACACGTGGATAGAAAGGAATATGCGCAGGTTTCAGGGGAAACAGACAGATACAAAAAAGATCATGCGTGACATTGTTCTTCAACTACATATCAAAGGACAACAGAGGATAAAATGGAAGAAGATATTAGAAGGAGTAGATAGTTTCCCTCTATGAAATGTAGAAGTAGAGGAACTATTAATATGTCAAGGAAAGCTGTGTTTTTTCTAGATAGTCTTTATGTTTATTTGATGTTATTTGAGTCTAACTCCTAAGTCCAAAGTAGTTAGAGGAGCTGTAAATTCTTTACTGATTAAATAAAAGTTTAATATTTGACCAAAAAAAAAAACTTAAAGTAATGAAAGGGTGCATGTGCATTAAAATTTACCAATAAGTAATAGATTTAATTTTAGGTCCATATTGTTGAAGTTTCCTATACATGGTAAATCAAACTTATAAACCTAACATGATGAGTAAAAAAATATATCTATAAATAAGTTTACCAAAGACAACAATGCAATTATTAAAATAATTACAATTATATTATAGTAATAATAAACTATAATGTATTTTAAATTTTTCGTTGAAGTTATACATGTTAAAGCACAAACTCGGTTAGATAATTGAAGTATAAATAAGAAACCAAAATTTATATATCTTAATTAATGGTAATAAATTGTACCTTTTCTTTATAAGAAATTTAAGGATAAAATAGTAAAAAATAAAGTATATTATAAATAAGTCGTCATTTTTAATGTTTTCCTTTTCTGGCATCCAGTCCTACGAATGCTAATCTCACTATATTTTTTTATATTAAACTATTTATAGTAGTTATTAACTCAATCGTAATTACTTTTATAACTTTATAATATCAAGTTTATACATATTGAAGTCTCATGTACATCGCAAACCAAACCTATAAACATATTAGGAACTATCTATAACTAAGTTTAAAAATGACAAGACTATATTTGAAAATAATATAATTATAGTAATAATAACTATAATGTACTTTAATATTTTTGTCGAACGTATACATGTTAAAGCTCAAACGCAATCAGATAAGTGAAACATAAATAAGATAAATTTATATATCGAAATTATACTAATAAATGGTATATATTTTTATAAGAAATTTAAGAATGAAATAGTAGGAAAAAATATATTTTAAACAACTTGTCATTTTTTTCATTGCATTTAGTCCAACAAATGACAATGCCTAGCTCTATTTTTTTATTAAATTATTTATTATAAGATATTAATTCAATCACATTCATTTTTTAGACTTTACATTGTCAATATTAATTTTTGGAGCTATAAGACTAACCTTTTATTCTCTTTTGTGTTTTGTTTTTAGTATTAAGTCTTTAAAATAACAATAATTTTCATAAGACCTCACACATACTCATAAATCACAATAAATCATCTAAAAAATTTTATCGGCTAAGATTTCTTCATTTATTGAGTTAACTAAATGGGAACACCATTCAGCAGTTCCAAGAATATTTCTTTAACTTTTATTATATAATTTAAAATTAGTACGAATAATATTTACGTAATTTTTTAAAAATTGTGTACTCATTAATATAGGTACACGTGCAACGCGCGTACCATAAGGCTAGTTTATATGTAGGGGNNNGGGGGGGGGGGGGAACTCCCTTCTTTTTATAGTCTGTTTGATCCTTATAATTATTAGAATATCTAACTGATTCTCCGAACCAGCTTAATAAATTTCTATTTTCGTTAGAAACAACTTTTTTTCCACTATAATCAAATGATCGTAATACGAGTCGTAGTATAACTTGTTAAATTAAAA